TCTTTTTAAAAGAGTGTTTCGTATAGAATCAAGTCCATTGCTTCCTATATAGGCCTCGGGGGAAAATAGTACTTCCTGTACTATTGCAGATTGCAAGATGTCAGAAAAGAGAGTTTTCTTTGTTCTTTGCTACCATATAGTAGTTGTCTGAATTTTATTGGCCAGTTATGGTAATTTCTTCAGATTGAGAATCCTGGTGACACTTAATTTCCTATTACTGAAGATATGATTGCAGGATGTCAACTGTCTCTGTCTTATAGTCCTGGTTGATTAAAATAAAATCTTAGGATTGTAAATGAAACATGCTTACTATGGGCTCTTCGATGTGACATTTTGAAGCTGTTTATCTCTCATTCTTCTGGAAACAAAGTTGGCTTAAGAAATTGCTGCCTTAACTGTTGTCCATTTTCCAGATTTTGCAATGTCTAGATCCGTGATGGCGAACCTATAGCAGGCACGTGAGCTATCGCCCCAGTTCAGCTCCACCACACATGTGTATGTGCCTCCCCCATCCAGCTGATTTATGAGTCTCTGATGTGCATGTGTGTGTGTGTGGGTGCATGTGGAAGATGCATGTTCATGCATGCCGGCGTGCATGTGTGATGGCGGCGGGGAGCGTGGGTGGGTGCAGCACGGCGTCCCTGCAACCTGTTTTAGTCCAGGAGGCTGCATAGAGGCCTACTAGGGCCAAAAAGGTGTGGGTGGGGTTTTTTCACATGTCCATGCACAGGGGGTTGAGGCACATGGGGTGGTTGCATGCACATTGCATTATGGATGTCTGTGCATGCATGTGCATGCTATTGCACACATATGCATGCGCTTTTGGCATGCAATGACAAAAAGGTTAGCCATCACTGATCTAGATGGTTGTTACAATTGGCAGATTCCTTATTGATAATACTTCTGAATGTTGTGATGGAAGATAGTTAAAACAATTAATCAATGGAACGATTGTCTCCAGAAGTTCTGGATGCTCCAACACTGGAAGTTTTAAAGAAGAGATTGGACAACCATTTGTCTGAAATGGTATATAGGGTTTCCTGCCTGAGCAGGGGGTTGGACTAGAACGTCAATTCCAACTCTGGTATTCTGTTATGACACTCTGAAGAGTCCACAAACAAGTAGAGACAATACGCTTTCAGTCCCCCAAACAACGCAGCCAACTAACATTTGCAAATGGTGATAAAGAAAAGTTAACACAAATTTCAATGAAAGTTTCCCTGCCTCCACTACTTTTGAAACATGATGGGTGTTGTCAAAATTACAGAAATGGTGAGTCTCTTAAGTCTGTTCATCCTGATGACTGCCCTCCCCTCTCTCTTTAGTATTTTTTAAAAAACTTCTCAATACGCCAAGTTAAGAAATGGTGGCATAGTTTATTCAGTATTGTAGTGCATATTTCATTTGTCTCCTGCCGCCCCTTCCCTGCCTAGAATTGGCTTCTCAAATCCTAAAGAGTCAGATCCAGTAGAACCAGGGATGAAACATTGGTCACCATTATGAAGGTGGACATTTGTTTTGAAACAAAGAAATTGAATTATGTGTAAAGAGTCACTGTTGACTTTCAGTGATCATCCAAATAGATCTTCTCCAGGATGATTTGTTCTCAGTCTGGCACTTCCAACCTATTACAGGTGTAATCAAGAGCATTGCTGCAGATCATCCTTTTATTCTTTCTTCCCAAAACCAAGAAATGCATCCGAATAATAAATGAGACTTCACTCCCTACCAGTTTATTAAACCTGTAACTCACTGTAAATGAAAAAATTAGTTTGAAACAAAAATAGTTCACTGCTTCAACCGTATCTGGGTTGTGTGGAACTCATCAACGCAGAGGAAAAATTTGGATTTCTGCATTCTTCCCATGCGTGGTAATATAAAAATGCCATATTATGAATCTCAACATGGGATACTAAGAAGTGGAGGAAAAAAAACGTATGTCTTTCTGTCTCTGGATGCTATTGCCACAGCAAACTGCGGGATTATATTTTTGTACTGACAGCATTTGTGACCTGTCCTAATCTGACCACTTCTGTACAATGTAGAAAGGACAAACATGTAAATTAACTCAACTATTTAAAATTCTACAATCCTCAATCAACACCAGTGGTGGAACTCAGCCAGTTCACACCACTTCGGGAGGACTGGCTGTTAGTTTCTGAGCAGTTTGGTGAACTAGTTATTGGAAGAAATCATTAGGGCAGAGAATGTGTTGTTAAATTATTTGAATCCCACCACTGATTTAACACAGCATAGGAAATAATGATATTTACCCCTAATCTCTCTAGCATCCAAAAGCCATTGGTAGCAATGAAGAAGTGAAGAAGCTTCTTGGATGAGAAACAAAACATCTTCAATGAAAAACAAAGGAAGTCCTGTTGCCTCTGGACTCTCTTTGTTTTTCCTTGAAGATGTTTTGCTTCTCATCCAAGAAGCTTCTTCAGTGACCCAGAGAATCTCCATAGAAATTGGTAGCAGTAATACACCATTTGACCAGAAAGCAATCTGGCAAAGAATAAATGTCAACATTGTCTACATTCATGTCTCCAAAGCAAAAACCAGTTCAAGTATATGTCTGCCAATGCAGGTTGGGACCACTAATTACCATGAGAAAACTATGGTTGCCCTGCAGGAATGAATTTGTGAGCTAATCTACATTGCTTTTCCAAGGCATGGAGTCTGAAGTTATGTAAAATCACCAATCTTGAAGACTCACTGCAGTCCTGAGATGTTGTTTAGCAGCTTATGAAAGGTTGCTTGTCAGCTGGTTACCAATCAATATGCCAGCAACAGTCCTGCTTGTCTCTGCATCTCAACTTCATAACACAATTTAAGGAACCAAAAATATTTCATGATGATTTTTCTTAGCTTTTTGTTTAGGCATAATGCAGAAATAGACATATGGAAAAAAAATTCTACCTCACATAAAAAAGTTGGTCTGTCCATGCTTGGATAGAAAAGCCCTTAATTTAATTATTTCATTCTGTTTTATATTAGCTTTTGCAAGTTGCCCAGAGTTGTTTGCCTAAATCATCTTCTTTCTTTCATCATCTTCTTTTAACGACCCCATAATCCCTTGTAGAATGGAGGCTAGGCAACCAAATGGAGCTAGCAGAGTGTTTTAATGGCCGGATGCCCTCTCTTGTCACCAATGCGGAGTTTTGTTCAGCAGATATATTCTCAGTGTGTCCAGAAAGAGAAATATCTGCCTCCACCTAGGATCAAACTCACAGCCTCCTGATTGTGAGGTGAGAGCTCCATCTTTAGGTCACCACACCACTCCAGTTCAAAGGTGGGTTCCGACCGGTTCCGACCGGTTCGGCCGAGCAGGTAGTAACTCGGCCTGCCACACCCCTGAATCAGTTCTTTCGGCAGTGCCATAGTCTGTGCCATCTTGCTTTTTTGCTTCTGTGCATGCGCAGAAGCATTTTTTACTACTGTGCATGTGTGCATAGTATGCATCAAGTGCATGCACAGCGCATCCCTGAGCGAACTGGCAGTAGCAGCAGCCAAAACCCACCCATACTCCAGTTGTTTGGCTAAAACCATTAAAACAAAATAATAAATAAAGTAAAATAGCCAATGATCCATCCTATGTTTGTCCTCTCTAGCACCAGTACTAGTCTAGGATGATGTCATTCATAAAGAAGAAATGCTACTTTTTACATTAGCAATAGCAATAGCAATAGCAGTAGACTTATATANCTCTTCAAGGGCTGCCCCATGTAGAGCGCATTGCAGTAGTCTTGGTCTTGTACTTTTTTCTCTTTTTTTTGGGGGGGGGGGAGTCTGTGTTTTTAAATTTGTGAATAAAATAAATGGTTACTGGATCACTGGGGAAAAAATCACACTCACACACACACACACCTGTGTCTGTGTATCTATATCTGTATGTACCTATTTATAGCAGGTGTATCAAACTGGATTTCTTCAAGGGTCGACCTGGACAGCCTCCTGCAGCACTTTGGTGGCCAAAACGGGCTGCGTGGGGCAGTGTGCAGCTCCCACGTGGCTTACTTTTAACCTGGATAGCCTCTTGCAGCACTTTGCCAGCCAAAATGGGGGGAGGAGGGCAGGGACCCCCCGTTTTGGCTGCCAGAGGCACCATGGCCGATCCTTTGCTATTTCCAGGCTGGCCCTGCAGGCCAGAATTTAGCACCCCTAATCAGGCCTGAAATGACCCGCAGGCCTTGAGTTTGACACCCCTGATCTATAACTATCTGTCTGTCTGCCTGCAGACTGGCTGAAATTAATATGAAACATAATAGGTGGTTACTGTGTCTCAAACAAATGGATATATGGTTTTTAACAAAGTTTTAAGCAATTTTAAAACAATATATTTATGAGTAAACATAACAACACATTATAAGAGAACCTTTAAAGAACCACAGGGGGAAAGTATCAAGGTATGTTAAGAAACTTTAAGATCTGAAGTAGACCACAACAGAGCTTAGAATTTGAGATCATTCTCATATAGTTCCTTGCTCTGCTTTCAAAGAGTCAAGACATAAAAGGAACTAAGAGAATGAGCACTCCAAATGTCCTGATATTTTTGTAGAAAAAGGATTACCATGTTAAGCTCAATGTACCATTTTTCTACAATGGAGCCATGAAATGTGAAAGTAGCACATAATCACAGCTATTCCTGAGATAGGATCCTCTATCAGTGAAGCCTCTAATCGTTTGTGTAAAGACAAATGTAAGGGAAAAAATAGGTTATTGTTTTCAAATATATAAATGTCTATGAGTGAGTAATTTCACTAGCTTTCCACCCAGTCATTTCTATTTTTGGTCTATATTTTCTATTTTTGATAGAAAAAAAATCCCTTAGATCAGGCAATAAGTTTAGAATGACTTATTCTGAGATTTCTGTCTACCCCAGTGATATACTGCATCACTAGTGATCCAAGAGTCCACATGGGTTGCTATAGTGATGTAAAATGACGATCTGCTCTTCTTTTTTTCATATGCTTTGCTACATTTAGAAAAAGTTGTTTTACCTTTTAACATTTGGTGTGTTTTCTCTCAGTTCTAAAAAGTCACAAGAAAACTTGGAAATAATATCATCCACTACTTGATACTGAGAACTCTTTGCAAATTTCTGATGCTGTTCACTTTCAATATGCTGAAAGAAAGGAAAAACTAGTATCATTTGTATGCAAGTTATTACTTCATGTAGTATTTTTTTTTAAAAAAATTAAAACACACTTTAAAACATACAAAACAAAAAAAAGAAAATACACACACAGAATATATACTTCTATAGTGCACAAAATTAGACCTAAGTACATGTTTTATTGCTGAGATTTTTTTTGAACAAAAGTGCTAACATTATTCATAGCTTATGTATAACCTAAAATAGCATATTTCACAATAATAAACATTTGGACATGCATATACTAATGTAACCAGGATATATTACCAGTCCTTTTCTTTTTCCAGGGCAAAGCTGTTTAGAGGTATTCAAGCTAGAGCTTGATCTTTCTTTTCTTTCTCTCTCTCTCTCTCCCTTTCTTTCCTTCCTTCCTTTCCTTTTTCCCTCCCCTCCCTCACATCCACCCACCTACCCACACATGCAACTCAAAACCAATACAATGAACAGCCAAGGTATACAATCCATTGACAACTTTCAACAAAAACCACTGATTTGATGTTCTCTATCACATCCAGATCCCCAAGTCTGGTGGCAGGGTTACTTCTTTAAGATCTTACAAAAAGCCAGTAGGGCTTTCATTTTCATAATCCATTTTTCATTAGCAATAGCAATAGCAATAGCAGTAGACTTATATACCGCTTCATAGGCCTTTCAGGCCTCTCTAAGCGGTTTACAGAGAGTCAGCATATTGCC